CGTGGGGGTGCTGGGCCCAGCGAATTCAACGTGACTGCGCCTGCGTTCGTGCCCACCGGCTCGGTGTTCCCTTACCCTACGCAAGTAAGTGCATGTGGCGTCCGTCGCGCGCCTCGTCTGACCACTGCAACAGTACTCTCCGCCACGAGCTCCTCCTTATCAACCTCAGCCTCGCTCGCCCGTGTTCGTACATGGTCCCGGCCAACAGGTGCAGTTGGCTCCCGTGTCGGGGCCGGGGTCTACTAGTCACAGTGGACTGATCGATCCATGCAATCTCTTCATCAAAGTGCGTCTCCTATTACATGACTGCACAGTTACCAACACTTATGGCACGTAGAACCTCGATACGTCCATCGACTCCAACGGCCTCTTCTCGCATTTCCGTCAGGTGAGTGTTGGGGTAGGGATACATACTTGATACTGACACGATCATGACTATAGTTTGGTCAAATTGTTAGGTATGCATGGTTTTGGGTGGTTCGTATGGACGCTCACGTCTCTTCAGTGCGCGTGTAATGCGCAACGAGAACGGCGACAGTCGTGGGTTCGGGTTCGTATCCTACCAAACACCCGATCAAGGTGCGCAGTCCTTCTAATGCAGATATCAAGGTACTGATCGCGCCCTGTAGCCGCCGCAGCTATGCACGCCATGAACGGCCTTGTGCTTGGCACGAAGCAGCTCGTCGTGCGTCTTCATGAACCCAAGCAGCTACGGCAAGAAAAGCTGGCCGCGCGCTTCGCTGGGCACAATGGACATCCGCGGAGTGGTAGCGGGGCCACCAGCCCGACAGCGAGTGAAGCTGGGGAGAGCTATGCTGGATGGCCCAGCCCCGGGAGCCGTCCAACTGTCCTTGGTTCACCTGTGCTAGCTCAACACAACCTCGACCGACCCGACCGTGCAAGGAGGAGTTCGGGCAGTTACTATCATGTGGGCCTTTATGTCTGGTTGAGAGCTCGCATGAACTGACAATGTCTCAGGCTGCGCTATCGGGCACACTCAATCTGCCTATGCGCTTTGACGAACTGTCCGCACTCTCGCCCGTCGTCCGAAAAGAAGTTCTGTCGGGCGAGCTGAAGAGGCGCCTCAAATCATACGACCTTGTCTCACCCGCTGAGCTCGACTCTGTCGTCGAAGCGATCGTCGGCATGTCCCTCAGCGAAGTCGTACAGGGCATCCAACAACCTACGTGGCTCGCCAGGCTGGTGGATGTAGCCAAGTCCGACCCTCCACCACCTGCGCCATCGAAGTCGCCATCGCCCTCGAGCACGCTGGATATGACCGCCCCGAACGCGACTGCGTCAGCACCCGACCACCCTTCCACGCCTATCTCGATGCCCACCACGCTCTCCACGCCGCCTCGCACGGAGTCGCCATCGGGCTCGGTCCCGCCGACGTCCGAGAAAGAGCGCATGGCGGCGGCCGTAGCGAAGCTGGAGTCGAACCGCATCGGGGAGCTGACGGACCTGCTAATGAGTCTGCCGAAGCGCGAGCGCGCAATGTGCCTGTTCAACGTGGAGGTGCTTCGCGCCAAGCTTGCGGACGCGAAGATGGTGCTCGACGTGGACGAGGACGAGGAGCCGCCCGCGAAGGCCGAACCCCCGGTCACGCCCCAAGCACGGAAGATCGCTCCGATGGACGCGAGCCCGCGGACGCCGGACATGTCGTCGCGCGGGCCGTCTGCGGCAGCGTCGCCCATGCCAGAGACCCCCAGCAGCTCCTCTGCGTTCACGACGCATACGATCTCATCTCTGGCCAGGTTGCCTGCGTCTGAGATTATCAGGATCGCAAACTCGTCCTCCGCGACGGGCTTGCCTCTGCCCAAGGCCGACCCGCTTGTAGTCAAGGCTACAGATGACTTCATGGATAGCATAATGGACAAGCCCACTCAGCATCAGAAGCAGCAGCTGGGCGACAAGATGTGCGTTCGTGAGCTTGTTGGATGACGCAGGTGCTGACCATGTTTGTGTAGTTTCCGCGTGGTGAAGGCGTTCGGACTCAAGGGGGCGGTAGGTTAACATTTCCCCATGGAGAAGTGCGAAGCTGACGTGTGGCGTGATGTAGCCCAAGATCACGATTGCCCTCCTAGACGAAGACGATCTGCGCCCATTGGCGCACCTCATGAACAGCTACCCGTCCGTGTTGAAGGAGAAGGCGATCCTCCTCCAGGCCGCCACTCAGAAGTAAGGCACAACGATTGGCCCTGGCTCGGCTCGGCTCGGCTCGTCCCGTTTTGCAAGTCCCCGTCTACATCTTGGCCGGCCGATATAATCAACTTTTCCAGCACTTGCCGATAATATTAACCTCTCCTTGCCCTAGGCTCCAGCACTCAATGTCACGACCAACGGAGGATGCTCCCAAACTAACCAATTCGCACCCCATCGGGTGGTCGTTGTCGAAGTTCCTCCTATTCTAACTAGCTATCTCCCTCTCATTGTTTGTTGTTTCCACGCAAAGCCTTTTATACAGCCTCACACATACATCGTGTCTTACGTTGGATCGGAGTACGAGACCTGCTTCTCCTTTACGACCTTTCATGACTGTCTCGCCCCATTGTCGTATCTTTTGCTTATCAATGCGATGCAGTGGTCTATATGGCCGCATCTAGTCGATACAAATATTCATCGGCCCGTGGCTCGACGCCAAATATCGTGTTCAGAGGTGTCGCCGCGGTCTGTGACTTGGTAGGTACTGGCGAGGTGGAGTCATGGCTAGCATGCCCCCAGCAAGCCTACATTGGTTATTCGTGACCATTGATATAGCTACGATCATCAACTGAAGTGGGCCATGGATAGCTATAGTGGACTATGGGGGCCTTGCCGATGCCGTGTCCTAGCATCCTAGCATTACACGAATGCAGTGACTGCGGGTAGCCCAGTCGAAGAAACGTTCATGAAAGTGACCGCGATCCCGCACGAGTCTTCTGCTTCAGTTTCATTCCTGTCCTGAGTGACAAGGACTGTTATAAATGCGGGGCTCGGCAACACTCAATCCCACCTTCTCTCGAATCCCGAATGATTCAAGGGCTTGTTCCGAGTTCAACGTACAGTAAGCACGTCTTCTGTCATTATATGAATAATCGTACCATGGCGACAGCTGCACTCCGCTGTTCTGCCGGAAGTCGGTCGACTTGGATTGGAGGGGCTGAGCGATGTTGGAGAGCTGGACCTCATATGGGGACACATCCCGATACAAAATGCATAGTCTCCCAGACCCCGGACTTTGCTCAACGAGGCGGTCGTAAATTGTGTCGAACCTACTACAGCGTGCTCTGGCCTCAGTCCAGACTCTAGGCTGTGGGAAGGGACAGCACAAGCAAAGTTAAAGCCCTCTATTGAATTTAGTAGAGCGGCTGTAGCCTGCGAGGAAATCGTGCGGCTCACTCTCAGCGTGCGGCTCCAGGCCGGCTAAACCGACTCGTATCCGGGGCGCTTTCTGATTGGACGGCACCAGATGGTGCGGTCGTCCAAATTCTCTGCCACCGCGCAATATAACTGCCCTCTCTCCACCTTTCATTCCCTCACTCCTCCCCCGCCGTTCCCCTGTCTCCCCACTTCAACGTCAATTCCATTTGTGAGTCTAAAGTCTATCCTCGCGAAGTCGTGTCATCGCCGACGCCTGCTGCCCCCTACTTAGAACATGGTCGCCCAGGCTGACGGTCGCGTAAACGAGCGCATTGAGAACTACACCAAGTTCTGGCAGAAGGACATTTCCAAGGACACAGAGGCCGACACTGCCAACCGTGTCGAGAGCTACACCGATGTTGTCAATGGTACGTTGCGTAGCGACCCCGGTCGTTGCCTGCATCCGCTCACGCGGCGGCGCACATAGGTTACTACGACGGCGCTACCAGCCTTTACGAGTTTGGCTGGGCACGCTCCTTCCACTTCTGCCGCTTCTACAAGGGCGAGGCTTTCCAGGCCGGCCTTGCACGCCATGAGCACTATCTTGCCGCGCAGATGTCCCTCCGCCCCGGGATGCGCGTCCTCGACGTCGGCTGCGGTGTCGGTGGTCCCGCCCGCGAGATTGCCCGGTTCGCGGACGTCAGCGTCGTCGGCGTCAACAACAACGACTTCCAGATCGGCCGCGCGCGTCGCTACACGAAGCAGGCCAGCCTCGAGAACCAGGTGTCTTTTGTCAAGGGCGACTTCATGAAGCTTTCGGAGCAGTTCGGCGAGAACTCGTTCGATGCTGTGTACGCGATCGAGGCGACTGTGCACGCGCCGTCGTTCGAGGGCGTCTACGGCGAGATCATGAAGGTGCTCAAGCCCGGAGGAGTGTTCGGTGTCTACGAGTGGGTGATGACCGACGCGTGGGACCCTACTGTGCCCGCGCACAAGGAACTCGCGAGCCGTATCGAGCTGGGGAACGGCATCCCCGAGATGCGTCCCATTGGACAGGCGCGCGATGCAATGAAGAAGGTTGGCTTCACCATCGAGCACGAGGAGGACCTCGCGGACCGGCCTGATGAGGTGCCGTGGTACTACCCGCTCGAGGGCGACATCTTCAAGGCGCAGACGACCTGGGACTACTTCACCGTGTGGCGGATGAGTTGGAGCGGCAAGCTGGTCACCCACTACGGGTTGTGGATGCTCGAGCGGTTCGGTCTCGTGCCGAAGGGTACCTGGGACGTCGGTGAGACCCTCAAGATCGCAGGTGACTCCCTTGTCGATGGTGGTAAGACAAAGGTACGTCGGCCGATTCTTGGGATGTCCTCGCATGCTCACTGGGACGTCTTCAGCTCTTCACCCCAATGTACCTCGTCATCTGTCGCAAGCCCGCATAAAATTGAGCTCTCGCTTTTGTCTCTCCCTTGCTGCTGTTGGACTACATATATACCATGATAATTACTATTGGGTGCCCATGGTGGGATTTGTGTTCTCCCAGCACAACGATTCAACTAGTACGAACTTGCTGTGTGCTTGCGGCGAAAGAATACATCTATGGCGTACGGATAAGATAAGAGCCTGAGTATACTACACAGGAAGATGCATTCACATGTGGTCTCATAGCTCAGTGGTTAGAGCATGCGATTGCAGTCCTAAGGGGTTAGATATCGCAGGGCCGCGTGTTCGAATCACGCTGGGACCTCTTTTTGATGAATCTCACTTACACATAGTGCAGGACACGTCCTCCGCGCGCCTACTTGTACCGTTCCTAGCGCAGCATCGTACCTGCTCCCAACTCCCAACCATGAACTTCCCTCTGAGGCTTGCTGCAGCATTTCTTGCTGTTGCAACAGCTCATGCTGCCTCATTGTCCGTTCAGAACCCTCTTTTGACGGTTACAGGAACAGATGCCTCGCAGCTGCGCTCCGAGTCGTAAGCCACCGCGTTATTTCGCGCGCAGTCCACCTAACATCCATCGTTCGTATACCAGGCTCTTGCTCACCGAAAAGCCGGAGCCTGTAAAGCTAGGGCCCTCGGACGTCCTCAAGTTGACCTTCCAAGTAGCTGAGGCAGGGGGCGGTAAGGGTGTGCAGCCGCACCAGACGTTCCTGCGCTTCAGCGATGATGTGACTGGCGAAGAGGGCGTGCAGCCCATCCGCGTCACGCCCGGAGGGAAGGCTAAGTTTGAGCTGGTGCGTGTTTCTATTGCATTATCTACATGTACACGCGTTGGCTGACGTCGCGTCTGCGCACAGAACATGGCGCGTCCGCCTGCATCTCTCCCACCGACCACGACAAACCCACTGAAAGTGTCCCTCATTCTTGGTTCCTTCGTTCACTCGCCTGCTCAGTATGAGCTCTTTGACCTCTCGCTGCCGGCCTCGCAACCCCCGCCGACCCACGCCGACGAGATCACCTTCGCGCCGCGCCCAGAGATCACCCATACGTTCCGCCCTGAGCAGCGCATCCCTGCGAAGGCCGTGTCTGCCTTCTTCGGCGCATTTGTCTTCTGGCCGTGGCTTGTTCTCCTTGGCTTCGTACGCCCATCATTCCGCTCTAGTGATTGTCCTCTCACTAACGATGCATGGTGTATACAGTGGTATGAGATTGGACCGCGCGTCCCGCACCTCTTCTCGCCTCACGTCGTTCCCTTCGTCGTGTCCCTCGCCGCGTTCGAAGGCTTGCTCTTCTGGTACTGGGTTGATTTGCGCCTGGGGCAGGTCTTACTGTATGGAGGGATTCTCGCCATCCCGACTGCCCTCGCAGGGAAGCAAGCGCTCGTGAAGACGAGCGAGTGGAGGCTCGGTAGAAAATGAGACAGTTTGTATCTGAGTACTTGATGCGTACTACTGCTATTGTTTGCTCTGACATGTCAGATATTATGGCGCGGCAACCGTGTTTTAAACTGCATACAAGTGATTGTGCTGTCCACTACCACCCACTAGGCAGACATCCAGTTATTCTCGGTCTTTCAACGAATAAGTACAGCATTGCGTTCCATTGTTCTCCCCTTTATAACCAATACACTTGTCAAACTACCCAATGTTCGCTTTCGAAAGTGCTAATATCTCTTTCAAGCAGCAGTCGCACTAGGGATGGCGATGGACTGCGCTACAGCGGGCGCAGGACTGACGATCGGACCCTGTTGCGAGACTGACTTGAACGCTGAGGTGTCGCTCGGCAGGATTTGGCCGCTACCGTACACCGCTTTCGCCGTCGGTGCCTTGAGGGGATGTGCCTCCGTGTTGAAGACATCTACCCAGACGTCAGCACCCGCTCCTGAGGCTGACAACCGAGCAGCTCACATTCATCGAGACTGATCAAGCTCGGGTCGGAGAACGTAAGATACAGGTACTTGAGTACCTCTGCGAACCAGAAGCTCTGCATGTCGTCAATAAACGTCGAGTCCGTCGCGTCGACATCGTTGATGCCCGCGTATGCGACGGTCGTCGGGAGGTATTCCAGGAAGGAGTCGACCGCAGCCGCCGCGCGCTCTACATACTTGATGTCGCCCGTGACGCGCCACGCGTAGAAGTTGGACTCGAGCACCTCCGGGCGTAGATAGTAGTCCGAGTCGCCCGGCTGGATGAAGAACCCGTTCCTGGCGTAGAATGCGAGGTCTCCGTCGGACGGCGAGGAACCGGTGTAGTTGCCGTCGGATGAGAGGTAGGCGAAGACCTCGGGGCCGATGCCTGTACTGTGTGGTATAACGATTTGGTTAAAGACGTGTCAAAATAGGGGAGAGGACGTACGCCGTGCTGGCGTATGTGTTCCAGCAAGCCTCCATGAGAGCAAGGCCGTAATCGACGATAGTTTGGTTGTTCAGGAGCTTACCGCCTGAGGTATTCCCAGTCAGAACGTACATCAGGCACGAGCAAGACGCCTACCGAGTAGCCAGTTCCCTGCGTGGAAGCATTCCAAGTGAGAGCCAATGTGGATGATAGTGCCGTCGTCCCAGTCAGCCATATATTGCCAATCCTTCACAGTCGATGTCTGCATTGCCTCCGTGAGTGTCAGCGACTTAAACATGGCTGTGGCGCTCACTCTCGCGAGGTTCCAGATGGACGAATCGACAGCAGAAGCCCACGCATCTGCGAACAGGTTGTTGTCGGTGTTGGACAAGCGTGCATACTTGATGAGGTACTCGAAGTAGCTGTCAGAGCCACCGCCCCACGTCTAGGGTAGCTGTCAGCTGAGACCTTCATGTGAGGATGGTCAACGTCAACAATACTTACAACGTACGCATCCGCGAATTGGCCACTCGTCGGGTCGACTACTTGTGCGGGCAAGTTTGGAAGTGGGGGAGGCTGTCATCAAGTACGTCCCAGTCAGTATACGGTATCACAAGGTCAGCGAACATGACTGACGAGGTTCGCGATGTAAATCACAGGCTTCTCCGCAAGCTGACGGTAAGTGTCGTTCCCAGTGAAGTCCCTGTTCTGCCTCAGAACGTTTAAATGTGATATGAAGTAAGGGGACGTACGCCAAAGTGGACCATTCCATCGTCAACTAATGGAAGCCATCAGTAGGGGTTTGGCTTTTACACCGGAGGTTCTCACAGTCCCTGCTTCCGCAATGTTGGTTGTGCCAACCACGGCGGTCCCGTCATTCCAGTTCACATAGCCATATGGGATTGAATTGTTCTGTAAGATGCGCTCTGTTAGCCTCGTGGCCTTCGATACTGCAGTCCACTACGCACTCCGACAAACGCATTCGTCATCCTGTCCACGAGAACCTTTGACTGGTTGACCAGGGCAGGGTACTTCTGTCCACTTAGCTCGTACGCGGCCAGCGACGATGCGACATAACGAATGGTCGTCTCAAACAAGCTAGGCATCTAGTGAGCGATACTCTGGCTGTTTTAAGGGACGAGCATACTCAATTTGTCCACCGGATGTTGTGCTGTAATCAACCGTGCTCGAGAAGTTCAGAGCCTCCTCCCAGATGTCCTAGACACGTCAAATTAGCTTCCGAGACAACGCGCTAGCGGACAAGGGGGACGAACATCGAGTCCCATAAGCCACTATAAACGTGTTCAGCAAAAGGGTCCGAATGGCAGCATGTCTACGCACAATAGTATCCAACGCGTCCACAATTGTAGCTCCCCAGCCGCCGTAACTGTCAGAGTAGCTTTCGCTGACGGGACTAAGATCATCATGCCCCCATGCATACTTCCTGTACGTCGTGAGTGAAATTCATAGAGTCATATACACAAATCTGCTCACTTGTATGCAGCCCAACTCGTCTCGAAGAGTTGCACTGTCTTCTGCGCGTACTCAACAGCGATTGCAGGCTGCGTAATGCCGGGAGCCTGAACAGGCCCTGCCTTCACGCTAGCAACAGCTATGGCGAGCGCGACAGCGCTGGTGTGACAGCCAACTCCAAACATTTTGAGAGTAGTGGGCAGCGAGCAGGCAGCACGAGCATTGCGGGGACCTAGAGTAGCAGATTTATAGAACGTCGAGAGTGCGCGTCTGCCGGCGGGCTTCTACGACTCCCGTCCCACGGTATCCTTCCCAGTGAGAGGGACACACGAAGAGCCAGGGAAACACTGGTCCTTATTTTGGAATATTAGTACGCGAAGAAAGGGAACGCATCCATCGGACCCGTTACGACACCATATGATAACGTCCGTAACGAGCATACCATGCTACTCACGACGAGCCTCTGATGCGGTCAAAGTGAGGATCTGATCCTTGTCAATCGACTCCACAAAGCCATGTTGGCCTACGGCACACGCGGCAAAGGGACGCACGAATAGTACGTGTGTGTGGTGAGAGGCATGTCCGTAGAGCATGACCGAGAGAGTGCGCACAAAAAGCGAGGAAAGAGGATGCAAAGAAGCTATTGTCGGCGGTAATAGCGTCCATTGCGGGCGCACGAGAAGCCGTCATTCCATAGACCGCATGACATCCTTGTTCGCATGGTCCAGCAGACCTGTGTACCCGCCAATATGGTCGGCTCTGTAGTGTTACCGCCAGAGACGTAGCTGAATCGCGGACACCGAGCAGCGTACCTGAGCACAGTGCCGCTCATTGAATGGAGCGGCATTCAACATTACAGCGACTTCATGGATGAGAAATCGGTGCATCTAGACTACTGGAGCCTGAGAACGATAAGCCGTAATATACCACACACGAATTCGAAAGCAACAGTGATCAGGTACCATACAAAAGTCGCTACCAGACAGCGAACAGCGATTTCCCACTCAAGCCGAGGTAGGTGACAAGGCGATGTCCTCATCTCCGATATGCAAGATGTTATGTCTGCGGGGATGGTCAACGTAAGCACACATGACGCACAAGAAGACTCACTTCTCTTTGAGATGGCTCCTGAGCCCATCGAAGCTAAACGCTTGACCCTTCGCCATCTTAGCCGCTCTCCTCTGGTCTCTCTTTCTGCTGTCGGGCGCCTCAGTATTCGTGACTCCTACAGCATCTGCAGGAGTAACACGAGGGTGAGGCGACCCAGCGAGCGAACGATCACCGTCCTGCGGGGCACTGCTATCGTTCGAGGCAGGAACCACAGAAGGTGCATCTTTGTCCGCCGCTCCATCGGTTGCACTTCTGATCGGTGCAGTGGTGCGAGCCGCCAACGCAGCTTCCCTAGCAGCTTGCTGGCAATGGCGGCATGCATACCGCTTCTTGCTCCGCGCCTCTGCTCCACCCCCCATGAGCTTTGCAGCTAGACCACTTTGGATGG